TCGTGTAAACTATTTTATAACTTACACTTCTAAACTTCGGAATGTCGTATTTCTCCAGTTTGGTTAAGATGTCACATGGGAATCATGCGATGATATAATTACTTTTTGCCTTCAGATTAACTGAAAGAAAAGGCTCAATTGCCATTTAAATTGAGGCAAAGAGTAGCGTCATCTGAGATTCAGGTCTTAAGTGCTAAGAAAATGTTTAGTGGATATAAGTGTATATACCACGTTAATGGAAAGAGGTTTTCTGCAATTAACCCTATTATTTAATATTTCATTCACCGACATCTGAAACATGCACTTTTGCATATAGAAAGCTATTGCATCTGATAGTAGCAGACTGACCTTAGGAGCTGCTCTCTGTTTAAGACTTAAATGAATTTCTAAGTTTTGCGCGACTAATGCTATGCACTTTCTTCCTATTTGCCAAGGTTCTTTGTTAAGTATTTAGTCTGAATCCTCATTAATTTCTCTATTTGCAGTGCACTGGAGCCCGCTTCTCTTAGTCGGGCTATATATCCTGTGCTAACCTCATATGCTACACCAGACAAACAAGCATTTCCTCGCCACTCATTGTGTCGTGCTGCCTTAGTCACCAGCGAAAGCCCAATATTTTTTCTCGATTCATTTACAAATCTCATTGTATATTACTCATCAACAGCTGATCCCTCACTTCCCTTCCCTCCTCCACATGATTGTAAGTAGTTATTTACCTTATTTTGCTCTCATCTCAAATTATGTTCTCAATAGGGTTTTCTTGATAATTAGTCCATTACATTTTTCATATTTTGAGATCAGTCTCTCAAATCATTGGAATTGTTATTAGGTCATCCAATTCTAAGTTGAGTTATTTTGATATTAGTCCCTTAAATCGTTGAAATTTCTAATTGGCCACCAATCTCACAAGTTGTTTCAAATTAATCCCCCCTAATTGCTGCAACTACTCTTGATTGCAGGGATTAATTTAAAAATAACTAAGAATGTAGAGATCTAATAACAACTTCAGTGATTTGAGGGTCAAATTTCGAAATAACTTAAGAATTTGCGGACCTAATAGCAATTTTAATGATTTGAGGGACTAATTTCGAAATATAAAAGATTTAAAAGACTAACGTTGAAAAAAGTAACTCTTTGCGGAAATGTTTGTATGGCAGCTGTTTCCTTTGGCTTATGGTTAGCGTTGTGATGTAGGTGCTCTGAGGACTACAATCAATAGATTAAAGCAGGAGAGGTGCATCACTCCAAAGCTTGCATTTATTCGAGGAGGGAAAGATGATGCTTCACAATTCGAGAACTATCTCATTGAAGAACATGATGTTGATGGCACTGGCTTCTCAAGTGGTACAGGCCTTGTTTCTTTCCTCGAGGAGATCAGCCGAGATGTTGCAGAATATCTTAAACAATAATAGAAAATTTAATTATGGTGGAACCTTGAAGAGCCAGGAGGTATATTTGACACTTGATAGCTAAAGAATCAACGAATGTTGGATCATCTCCGTTAATACTTGGATACAAGCTAGCTTGTATGATGTCAGCCGCATAATGGTCTGCAGAGGCCTCAAAAGTTTCACATTTTTGTAGGGAGAGAGGAAGAATTTTCTACTGTTCTCAGAACTGAAACGTGTTAATTTTGTTTGGTATATGTGATTGTAGCCTGCCATATTTTCTCTCAATTTGAAAGAAATGTTAATTTGGAGGATCTGCGAAGGTCCAATTCTGAAGGAAGGAAATTATCTTTATGAACTCGGGTAATTAATTTAAAGTACAGCCTCTTTAGGCTGATTTTGTTGTAGCGGAATATGTACTAGTTTATTCTGTAAGGACACATTTCTTCATAGAATAAGATTAGAAATATTTCTCAGCTTCTGCTGGGTCTGTTCTTTCTCCATGTACTAATTATGCTAATTATTATACTACTATGCTAGTAATTTTATGCAGACCTTGTTTGTGAAGTGAAACTACAGTTAAATTATTGAGTAAGTTGGCTATTTCCCTAAAAATCAAAATTCTTCTCCCTTGGTAGTAGCGGGCCCACCTTCGTATCTATAGATTGTTTTTTAGAAGTGTACATAGGAAAAACAAAATGATCAAAAGCTTCTTCAGACGGTAAAACCCACTCTTGAAGTAAATATACCTAAAAGAATAACTTCGTCCTGATATCAGTGATTTGAACGTGAAGTATTCTGAGGAACGATTTATTTGGGTTTATGGATGGGTTTACTGAAGGGGAGTAATGTGAAGAGAACTTAGCAGGAACATGAATTACCCCTTTTGGTATTCTCAATCTATTCTTTCATGAACCGAGGCCCATCTAGGCGAACCAATTCTCAGTATAGGTTTTGCAATATTTTGTCTTATCTCTATCACAAATATGAATTGGAAATTCACAGAAATATACATCATTTAAAACAGATCCCAATTCAATGGGCTCAAAAGGTAGAAAACACAGAAGGGTGACAATTTTATAACATCATTATATATTTGACGAGACAACAGCCTATGTAGGAACAATCTTAATACATCCCCTACTACAAGGAGGTGCTTTAATCACACACCCCACCCTAAGATTTCAGGTAGACACAGTGTTAGTCAATTAGAATTAGAAATATTATAAAATTATACAGTGTGAGTCAATTAGAACCGGATAAAAAGTAGAACTGAGACAATGATAAAAATGTATCCTACTTTTGTCAAATTAATATGGAAAAAAAAAGTTCCAGTCTCTCAAATTGTTCCAAATTTTAAGCTAAAACTGCATTGTAAAAAACTAGATATTTCTTGTTAACTTTTTTATTTTCATATTTTATTTTTTCATCTCTTCAAACAACATTATAAGATTAGATCACATCTCTTCTTATCATACCCTTCTATTTAATATTATTTTATATTTTTTATTAAATATTAAAATTGTATAGTTAATTTAAATTTAAAAATTAAGAAATTTATATTTTATTAAAAATTAATTAAAATTAAGAGATGACGGGATGATGTATAGCGGATTGAAAAAGAAAAAAAAAGAAGGGAAAAAAATTATTTTTTTAATTTATATTACAATAATAGTTCCACAAAATGTTAAAAAGTTACAAATTATTATTATACTAATAATATCTTATAGCCTATCCAATATTAAATAATACTAATAATAAGTTTTAGTATATATAAATAATAGTCTTATCATCAAAACACATGACTTCTATACTCATTGATTTTTAAAAATTCTTCTTAATTATATTAACAATTGTCCCACTAAAATATCTCATTCCAAAAAATTACTCCTAATTATCACACTAGAATATACCGTTTTTAAAAAATCATCCCACATGAAAAATTGTTCCACTTACATAAAAAATATCCTAGTTGACAAACGCATAACGAACATTTTGGTTGACTTGAATATTCAACGCATTAAAGAATCATCCCAACACATTAATACTGTCTTAAATATAGGGGTCTGAAATAGAATTACTGCATAGAGAAATAACTAACAAAAATTCAACAACCATTCAAGCACATATTTCAAAATTCAAGCACTGCTGTGAAGAAGAAGAGACTGTTCAAGATAGCAGAAGTGTTCCAGATGATCTCTGATCAAAACAAGGAGAACAAGAAAATAACTTCATCCTAAAATTCTAAACCTAGGCAGCATGCCCTCTAGGTGTTGGTGGCTCTCGTATAGATTTGCTGGCTGGAATGTGCAGAGACCATCCTAATAGCACCCCTCGCCATCAAATCCTTGATTGCCCTTCTTGCGAGCGACCCATTAATCTGGAAACATAAGCAAAAATCAATTTGTATTAAAATGCAAGTAGCACAAATTTTTCTAAAGATAATGTTAGACAAGTATATGTTCAAATGCAGTTGAGCTGTTTCCTAAACAATAATCAAAGCTTTGGCGACGTTAACCAAAGCTGACAGATGCTGGTAACAGTAGTAGCCATAAGCCATAAGCCATAAGGGAATGAAAATAACAGAAAAGCAGCATTCAAATGTATAAAGAAATATGAAGCTATAACTTATTTAAAATACAACCTTAAGACAGATGCTTGGCATAACAGGAAGAATAATAAAAGAATAAAAGGCGAAGTAGAAGATTATCAGAACATAAATTCAAACAATCCAAGTACTTGCATACAAACACACTACCTTCCATCATCGCTGACACCTTTTTACGACAAGGGATCAACTATATAGCACTAACATAGTCAAAATTCAAATAGGATGTTGACCTACCATCGAGTTTTAAGTCAGGCAAGGACTCTTAGTTGAACGTGTAAGTTTCCACTTGATAGATGGGCCACATATACTTAAGAAGGGGCTTACAACAAATATGCAGCTAAGATGAACTACATGTTCAGCTTCCATCTTAAAAGTAAAATCTATTGCCTTGCTACATGAATCAAAAAAGCAAAAGTACAAAAAGCTAAGGCTGAAACAATTAGAGAGGCGAACTACAAAAACGTTTCTAGTGATGTTGACATTGTACACTAGAACTTCAAAATAGAATAATCCAAAAGCATTAGCAGGTATTACATACAAGCACTAGGGTTGGTAATAACGGTATATCCTCGTAATAAGCTGCAGTTTCCTTAATTGCACAATCAAAAAATAAAAAGAAGCTAAAATCTAAGAATTTTAAATAGTATCATTTATTCTCAAATGTTTCAGCACCTTCGATCAGGATTATTCTGTGAAAGAATATTTCAAATGACAGCTAGAATATGTAGAATACTTGCAGAAGGACAAAGGGATCACAAGAAACAAGCGACATAAAACAGATAAATGACATCAGCACAATTAGCAAAATCATACAACTAGAGTTAATAACAAAGACGTGTGATATTCTAAATAATATGGTAACATATCCAACACTTATGATGTAACCTAACTTAGCTCTCAAATAGTTACGTGCGCACGCACACGCACACACAAATACACACATATACATATATATATTTGATATACTTTCTCTAGTGTTAGGTCATACAACTAGAGTTAATAACAAAGACGTGTGATATTCTAAATAATATGGTAACATATCCAACACTTATGATGTCACCTAACTTAGCTCTCAAATAGTTACGTGCGCACGCACACGCACACACAAATACACACATATACATATATATATATTTGATATACTTTCTCTAGTGTTAGGTCATCACGAGAAAGCCACGGGTGTACTCCCAATCCAAGTCCTAGAAACCAACTGTATTCCAATTCAAAACTGAATCCTAGTCTAAACCAATTTAACACAATTGAAATCCGAGAGAAAAACCTAGACTTATCCAACAATACTGAAATAGAGTAACAAATGATGTAGATAAGTGAACTCAAATAATCAATAAAGATATCCAGGGCCCTGATCTCAACTAATTACTCCCAAATTAGAATGTTTCGAGATACAACCTCATGGATATTTATAAGAATTAAAACTGATAAATAAAGACCATTCAGGGAGAAGGCCATTCTACAATCTGCATTATAAAATTTCACCAAAGTAAAGCTTCTACAATTGGTTTGATTTTAAACTCAACTAAGGTTTGATTCTTAAAACAGTTAAGCATGCATCAAATAGAGGCATCACTCCACCAATAAACTTCAATCCAGAATATTGAACTTCTTTAACGAAAAAAGACGCAGCAACCTTTCATAAGCTTAAGGGGAATATAAAATGATCTTGTCGCATGAGTGAACACATAAATCTGATAAAAGCTGCCTTGTTAACATGTTTTAGGAACTCAAATAAGATATATGATTCAAGTACACAGCTACCTATATAGACACACGGTCTCTCACCTAAAACACAAATTTACAAGACAGCATAGGTGCCGCCTACTATTAATGTTTGCCATCCACTTTTCATATTAAATCGTCCTCTAATAAATCATAATTGGTAATTAAAAAAACATTACACTTCATCTCAAAAATCAGACCAAATAGTAAGTTGCAGATGACACTTCCAAACTGTATCTTCGGTGGAAGAGATCACCCCTTAGCTACCTAGCAGCATTTAAAAGATCCTTAGCTTAGAAACCCGAGAGGGGGTCATCTGCAATTTATCTTTTTCATTTAGTGAATTCAAGGGTATGCAAGTGCTGCAAAAATAGCGGACAAGTGATAAATGCTTCCAATGGATATTACAGGTGCACGTTAAGAATCAAAATCGAACACTATACCAAAGATTCGATATTAAACTAATATAAACAACATAACAATTCAACTGCCCATTTGATAAAAAAACAAATTTATGACAATAAGAACCATACCCTCAGCCTCTCAGAAAGAACCGAAGGAGTGATCTGCTTGTACTTAGGGACCTCAGAGAGCATCTTATCATAGCTCCCCTGATCAAAGAGCACCGCGTTGTTCACCTTCTCCTTCTGCTTTCCCTTGCTCCACTTCTACAGTATCCAAAAAAGAACAAAACCCTAGAATCTAAGAACCAAATCTACACATGATAACCCCCAAGACCCTAACCCCAACCTCAATAAAGATCGCAACTTTACCTTCTTCTTCTGCTTCCCGCCGCCGGACTTCGCGGGCTTCGACGACGGAGGCGGAGCCTTGGAATCCTTCTTTGGCGCCTGGATCCAAAGAGAGAATAAACGTGAGAACAGCGAAACTGAGAAAAATGCAATCGGGATTGAACTGAGAAATTGGTTACCATGACAAACTGACGATTTGGATTCCTCTGGATTTGATCTCTGCAAGAAAAAGAGAGGAAAGCGGCGGGCTTTGGTTTATAGGAGCGAGAGGGGTGAAATAGGCTAGGGTTTGGAGGGCAAGGGTTTGATCTACGGATCAGATGATTAGAATGTTAGCGGGGTACGATTGCCGTTGGATTGGGATCCAATGGCTAGAGATGTCCAATGGGTATTTTATACATATGCCCTTATAAATTTTTTTTTTGAGAAAAAAAGCCCTTATAATTTTCTTCTTTCATGGACACTTTATAATTTTGTTAGTATTGACTAATTGCTCGCAAGATGGAGATTTTAATTGTAGTAATTGTAATTTTCTTTAATGTTTTAAAAACTAACTAGCTGTTTTTTTTTTCCTTCACAAATTGACAACAAATATAGGCCACGCTCATATTAGATGCACCACGATACTAGAATAAATTTCACGCTAAACGTTACGTACGCGTGCAATCTTCAAACTTTTAATGTTTGAAAAAACGTTTGGAATCTTAGCTAGCTCGTTCATGTTGTTAAATGAATCCCTAAACATAGATTTCATGTTTTTTCCAAAACAAATACATTAAGTTGCCCCCAAATCTAAATATTTGCATCCACTAGCATAGTTTTTTCTCTCCTAAGATACAGTAGATTCCGTGAATATCAGTGCAAGCAAAGAAAGTACCTAATGGCACAAATGATATGTAATTCAGTAATTACCAACTTTAAAATTATTAGTTGGATACTTACTTTTCTTTATTTAACTACTTTTTTTATACGGGAACCTCAGTATTTTTTTTCTTCACCCAATGGACGGGCCTAACAAGAGAAAGATAAGAGCAGGGCCCAACGGCATTCCCTCCCTCTACCAATTAAACCTCCACTCCCAAGGTTCTTCTCCTCCACGAAACAAGAACGAGCGAATTCTCCAATCTAACAACCGATCGATCTCAATACCAATGGCCATGAGATTCATTCTCGCTCGAATTCCTAACCCTCTCGATCGGCGATGATCGAGGCGTCCCCTTTAGCAATCTCTGGCCGCTTCTTCAACGAAGGCAAGATTCTCAGGGAGGCTAGGGATGTTTCAAATTTGATTTTTTTTAAAAATTCATAATTATATTGGAGTTGTTTACCACATTAATGTTTTGTATTTTGATTGTATTAGAAAGATAAGTTTTGATATTTGTTATATTCTTCATCGTGTTATATTCCTCATCATTGAATTTATATTTATTTGTATATACCGGTAAATTAGAGTTGATGATCAGGAGCTATGATGAGACCATATTCTTTTAGAGCACCTAATTGAACAGGATTCGGATCCTCTCCACTATCTAAAAGGTAGTTGAGGGACCATTACATAATCACAACTATTGATTGTCTAGTTGATGGTTGTGATTTTTTTTTGAGTGCAAATTAAGAATGAGTGCAATACACGGGGGTATGGTGAGTGTTAGATTTAGATTGTATCATAACCGCATACTAAGTAATTAATGATTGAGATTAAAAGTAGTGGTCTCTCCACTACTTTTTTGTAGTGGAGAGGATCCAAATCCAATTGAACATGGGTCGACAGATCCTAAATGCACGTGGCAGAGTTGAATAATGTAAGATCATGTGGCGTATATTTGACACAAGGACACTGCTGTGATGTTACCAATGTAAGCATGCATATGTGGAGCAGGTGATGAACAAGCTCTAGGAATAGAAAAGAGCTAAGATATTGAGGAAGACTAGTTGTGTAGATTGATAATCCAATGCTACTGGTAGAATAATTAGGAGTGTAAATTTTTTTGTAAATTTTTATCTATCTACTTTTCTATATTTAAGGTTTGTTTGTTTGCCTAAAAAAAGTGGGAAATCAAAGAAATGGAAAACTATTTCTAAGAAGAATTCTTTTGGGAGTGTTTGGTTTGCTAAAAAAAAAAGGAAATCAAAGAAATGGAGATGAGATGAGATGAGTTGTCATCTTATTATAGGATGATGTGAGTGATTTTTTAAGAAAACTTGTTTTGATGTTGTTTGGTTGGCGAAAAAAAATAAGAAAATAAATTATAAGAAACCTATTTCTTGTAATAGGTTGTTTTCTTTTGTTTGGTTCATTCTTAAAAATAAGAAAATAGATGAGATGTGATGAGTTGTCATTATATTATTGGATGATGTGACCCACACTTAAGGAAATTGTTTTCCTAACTTTTTGGGAGGAAATAGGTGAAAATAAAATGTTAATGAGATGAGATGAGTTGTCACCATCTTATTGGATGATGTGAGTGATTTGAAATAATGAGATGAGATGAGTTGAGTGATGTTGTGGATAAAAATAATATTGTATGTAATATGGTGGATGAGTTGTTGGATAAAAATAATATTTTATTAGATATGGATAAAAATAATATTGTATGTAATATGGTGGATGAGTTGTTAGATAAAAATAATATTTTATTAGATATGGTGGATTTGATGGATGAGTTGTTGGATGAAAATAATTTTTTATTAGATGTGATGGATGAGTTGTTGGATAAAAATAATATTTTATTAGATGTTGTGGGTGTGTTTTATGGATGGAAATGGATGAAATTGTACTTCTTGAGTTTTTTTTTATTTTTATTTCTATTTCTTGTTTTTTTAGGAAATAACCAAACAGGCCCTTAGAATATCCTAGCATGTAGACTGTCCCATCACGTGGGGTACTATTATGTATTTCTAGCTCACTTACCAGATGCAGTTTTTAGGCTTACATGCTATTTGAATACAGGGGACAACCTCATCAATAATAAAAAGTATTAATTGTTCCTTTATTGAAACGAAAACTCGGTACAAGAAGCAAGAAAATCTCATAACATATATGCCTACAAAATCAAGGCGCATGATCTGCCTAAAACTTTAGGAAGATTCCAAAAGCAAACGAGTAACAAAACATTTTTGTTCTCTGGTTTCTCTTATCCCCGTTCCTTGAGACTTCTACGCGTGTTTCAATTTCTTGGTGACGAAAAAGGCGACGCCAACTGCGGCCGCGACGACGACAGCGACGGTGAGCGTGGTACCCAGAGGGCCGCTGAAGCAACACTTGCATTTTTCAGCGTCTTCAGCTGCTGCTGCTCTTTCTCTTGCCTCTGCTTCCTTCTTCATAAAATATCCATGCAGGAGTATTAAAAACAAAACACAAATAATAAAGATCACATTGACAATTTGATAGCCTAAGTTTCCAACTGCATCAGTTCGCTATTTTGATATTTTGAGCTCTTAATTTTGATCCTCACTTTTTTCCAAAAGTTTGATAGACATGAAATAGATATTCTATATATATAAAAATTTGTACCAATAGTTTCAGCCAATTTTGGTTGTAACACATGTTGAAAGTTCTTGAAAATATAGATCCGTTTGCAATTAAAGAGAAACAAACAGTTGATCACAATTAAAATGCATATTTCCGTAAAAAAATTCAAATCTGCTGATTTTTACAACTAATCACACATCTTATTTGGATTTGGATGACATTGGCCATAATAAAAATGGGAGCATCCAACAACGAATTTTAGGTGCATTTCCTACAAAAAATACTTCTGAAACATTTCCTACGTGTAATATTTGCTGCATTTCTATTGCAGTATACCAAACAACCCCTTTCAATTGTTTAGATAGTTTGTTTCTCATATACTCTTCTATATTTAAAATTTTGAACATCACTAACATCAACTTTAAACAATTAAATTGCAAATAACCCTAAAAATTATTAAAAGCGGAATAAAACTATAATACCTTGAGCTTTTTGCTGGTTTCCACATCAGATGAGATGGGGTCCACAGGGAATTCCTCCGGCACACCAAGGTTCAGTTCTCTGGTGGCGTTCACCGCCGGAAATGAATCTCCGTCGACTGGTCCATCAAGTGACGCCATTCTTTTCTTTCCTTTTTCTTTTCTTTTCACTTTTCTTCTTTTATCTTTTGTTTCTTTAATTGAAGGAAAAAAAAAGAAGAGGAATGAGATGCAGCAAGTTATTTAAACTATTATTAATTAAGGAGGGTTGGAAAACAGAAGATAGTGAGAAAAAGTAGGCAACGGTTAAGGAAACTAGGAACCAGAATTTTTATCGGTGACTCCCAATTTATTCATGGTTAACAATAATTGGTCTGAAAATAAGAGATGCGCCCCATTGTTCTGAAAATTTAAAATATAATTAAAAAAAAATTGTCAAAAAGTACTCCGGAATGAAATCTAACTCCAGATGGTGATCGTATTCCACAGGCCAAAGATATCATAAGAACATCATGTAGACTATACAGTCTGATTCTTTGCCATAAAATACAGAGCATTCTGCAGAAAAAACATCTAGGGGGGGTGTTTGTTTTAAAAAAAATTTGGGATACAGGGTGGATTACAAAATTCTAGAATGAAAAAGTGAGTTTTTTTTAGCTTATGGATTCTATAACCTTTGTTTGATTCAAAATAAATTTTTGGATATTAAATACCCAAATAATAAAAAAAAACTAATTTATTATAGCATTTGTGAAATCCCTTCTTTGAGAGAGGATTTATGCTAGATTTCAAATTCTAAAATTTGTAATGCTACAATTTGAGTTTGAAACAAACAAAATACAAATGATAAGATTACATATCCCAAAATAATAATGAAATAAACAACATTTTAGAAATCCCAACTCATTTAAAAAAAACCTATGGATTTCAAATCCCATGAAATCCATATCCTAAAATTATAGGATTTGAAACAAACACCCCCCTAATCAATTGGATATTGCAATATCCATCTACATATTGAGATTAAATACACTCGTCGAATTTACTGTGTACTGTGTGCATAAATATCTTATAACTTGACTCGTCCTATTTGAAACTCACTGTTTTAAATTATGATGATCCTTAAACTAAACAGCACACTATTGAGATAACATAATAAGTTGCTTGCCTTTTTAACCGATGTCAACCTGTTTACTCTCCAAGCATGATAAACTTCTGATGAAGCTTTTCCAGTGGAAAATCCACATATCATACCGTACGCAGATGAAAACATTGACAAGAGAACCTCTCAATTATCTTTTTTTTTTTTTCTGAAAGAAAAGGGCTTATGGCCAATTCCATGGCTCAGACAAGCACCAACAAGATCAAACCAAGAAACAATGTAATGCTCCTCAGTTGTGAGAGATTTTGGTTGCACCAAAAGAAAAGCAAACTAATTAAGTTTACAACATGAATTCAACCAGCAAAACACAAGGATTCAATTCTGTAAAGCTGGTCTCCGACATAAAGATCAAATAGTATTTATTCTTCACAAGTCTCTCGTTGACAGCAGCTAAGTTTTCCATAGAGCATAAGGAACAATTATGGAAACCGGATCAGTCCTTTTTGGGTTCGTCAGTTTTCTGCACAAGGGTATGAAGGAGTACATCACTACTTGAAAAAAAAGATGAAACATAACATGAAGTAACTGCAGTCAAAAGAGAGATGTAATTCAACTATTATACAAGAATCAAAACTGTCATTAGGTTCAAATTCACACTCATCTAATTTACAGCCAAATACACCAACTTCCTCTTATGATAAAATATTGACTGATTTCTCCCCAATCTATATTCCATATTTGAAACCAAACCAAAACATGCAAAACAACTATCATCCACTCCTTTGCACTCTTTTATCTACTATGAAAACAACTTGAACAGGGAGAGGAACAAAAAGAGTTCTACATTAAATGAGTTGCCTATAGCCTATGTTACATTGTTACCTCGGTACTTCTAATCAGAAGTCGTATCCATCATCAACACGTACCCGTACTTGTACTGAAACTTGTTGGACACTTTTTAAATATATGCATAAGTTTTTCCAGACGTATACTCGATTATATAAAATATGTTTTAATTTAAAACACTCACACACTTCTTGCATGTGTATTCTTCATTTCACATCTATTCCTTATATATCGATCTTATGTGAAGGAAGAATGATTTTATGTAAATTTATTAATTTTAAAACATACATATATACATAGTCGTAACCCATACCCTACTTTTTACAAATTTGCTGTGTCCCATATCTGTACCCATGCAATTCAACCTATAGCAAATATCAATAAACATGCATACCGATTCACTTACTCAAGTGAGCAACTAAAATTGTAAAATTGCACACCTCAATCTAAGTATATACCTTCTACATAGTACTATGTTCTTATGCACATTTCGATTCAACATACAAATGCATATTAACATCATAATGTTGTATCATTTCAGAAGAATTCAAGCCTATACCAAAATGGATCAGATTATACATTCAAATATAAGTATTCAAGTCAAATGGAGTATTTGAGGGTCTCGTTTATATTACATTTCAGCTCTAAATGTTTCATTAGATGCAATCTAATCATGTATACATCATTGAAGTATGTACATGAATCACCAGAAAACAGTCAAAAGTAACCTAGATGAAGTATATATCTATACATCATTGAAGTATGTACATGAATCACCAGAAAACAGTCAAAAGTAACCTAGATGAAGTATATATCGTTCTCGAATATTTTTAAAAAAGATGGTCACCAGAAAACAGTCAAAAGTAACCTAGATGAAGTATATATCGTTCTCGAATATTTTTAAAAAAGATGATATTCCCCTGCAACAATGTCATTCAAGAAGGATGCTTATTGCCATCATGATATTTCTTTGATAAATTTGTCAAGTCAACTGTATAAAACTTCACGCAGACCTTGATTTATTGTAACTAAATCTTCATAGGAAAGAACATCTTAGGCCTCTTATACGATATGTAAGCTCTTGCAATTTCTACCATTAAACACAACCTATAATACAAACTATCTGCAGAGAAAGATGATACATATGACTGTAAGCGTCGAAAAATGCTTGCAGGCATCCAAATACCACTCAAAACAATATGAGAGAACAATTTACACGTCATCAGGCAACACAAAGTGGCGCGGCAGCCCATGGCGTCGCGGCTAAGGCGCGACAGCACATAGTGCCGCGGCTAAGGCGCGACAGCACATAGTGCCGCGGCTAAGGCGCGACAGCCTGTTGTGTCGCGGCTTAGGCGCTGCAACCTAGGGTGCCGCGGCTATGTTAAAGGAGTGCTGTGGCGGTTACAAGGCAGTTATATGATGATTTTTTGAGGCCTACGTGGCAGCATATCAGAAATAGAACGTGTGCTGACGTGGACAAGCAGTTAAACCACGAAAAAAGTGGTTAAAGGTCGTGGGAGAACGGTTTTAAGCACGATGGAACGTGCTGATAACCGTCTCTTTGGCCGCGGCAGCCTATACTGCCGCGCCAATAGCCGCGGCAGTGTAGACTGCAGCGGCCAAAGAGAAAACACTCAGTCAGTTATCTTGCCCCCGTTTCAACTGTAGTGCACTGATACCCCTATAAATACCTCCCTAAGCACGAAATAAAGGACAGAGAGCATTTTGGAGCAGAAGAGGCTTGAGCTTTCAGTGATTTTGAAGAAGAGAGAGAACTTTCACCCTTTGACAAGCATCATTCGGTGATTCCTAGAGATCTAAGCTCAGACTTGATCTTTGGAAGAACGGACATCTTACATCGATAAGATATTCGTTTTCAAATCTTTACTTCGATAAACGAAGGAGAGATCCCTAAGCACCCTCACGATCTTTGAATCGGTGGTCAACGAGCCAAAGCACTCACGACACAGGCAAAGTCCCACAAAAACAGTAGTTGATAAACGATTTCTGTGTTACTTTCTCGAAAGTTGTAATTTTGTTTATTTTTCGTTGTAACATTCTGTAAGCAATCGAAGTTTAATGGAATCTGCAATGGAAACGACTTTCGCTGAAAACAAACTGGCGACCACAGTGGGAGCCAGTGGCCTCGCTGCCGAGGCCGCAGTGTCGCAGCCGATCAAAATCATCGTCACTGAAGAGATCGAATACGAATTCAATCAAGCTAAATTCGAGGAGTACTTGTCATCCTCATCCTCAAAATCTTCCTCGTCCCGCAAGTGCAGGAAGATTTCTTCTTCAAAGAAGGTTTCCAAGTCTCCAATTCAGATGAAGACCGCAGATGAAGATTCTTGCCAAGTCATCGCCAAAGAATCTCTCTGCAACATCTCTGCTCCTATGGCCAGCCGATAATGACAAAGAGGGCTCGTCAAAGACAACGCCAGCGTCGCGCTCGTCAATTGGCTAAGGCCATGCAACAAACCGACGGAGTCCATTACTATACGGACTTAAAGTCGAGAAAGGAAAAGGTGAACCAATTACCTCAACGACAAACCAATCACATCTCTGCACAGCTTACGACGGAGGAATGGACTCTGGTCAAAAAAGCCCGTTCTACTCTCAAAGAGCGTATACAAAGGCGTCAAGCAAAGGCGGCTCGCGCTCGTGCCCTTCGTCAACAAGCGCAGAAGAACAAGAAGGAAGTGGTGTCTGAAAAGCCATCGAAGAACTGCAAAGCTTGGGTTCCAAAAAATAAAAATACCCAAAAATTACAGAGTTGCCTCAACGGCAAACTAATCACATCTCTGCACAGCTTACGACGGAGGAATGGACTCTGGTCAAAAGAGCCCGTTCTACTCTCAAAGAGCGTATACAAAGGCGTCAAGCAAAGGCGGCTCGCGCTCGTGCCCTTCGTCAACAAGCGCAGAAGAACAAAAAGGAAGTGGTGTCTGAAAAGCCATCGAAGAACTGCAAAGCTTGGGTTCCAAAAAATAAAAATACCCAAAAATTACAGAGGAATGTAAACTCTTACCGCGGCAGCTCATACTGCCGCGGTAATCTATTCGACCGCGGCAGTCCGAGCTGCCGCGGCACTTTGTTCAACCGCGACAGTGAAGACTGCCGCGGCACTTCATGTGGTCGTGATGTTCATCAGCGTCGCAAAACCACATCTGCAGTTCCATCGACACCCAATCCTGGTCCTTCTACTGCAACAGCGTCTACTTCATCACCGGTGAAACCCTGGGTTAGCCCAGATTTG